ACTTAGGAATCCAATCCTGGGCCCTAGAGTTTCAGGCAATTAAACAGGGCTGGTGACAGGAGGAGGTAGGAGTCATTGAGGCACAGATGGGGAGGAGGCAGGTTTGACTGAGACCAGCTTATGAGGACAGCTCCGTGGGGACTGAGTTAGAAAGTGCTCTGGGGTTTGTGGTTGGGCTCCTGGCTGCTGGGCATATCTTTGCTTTTCTTATGGTGGAATCTGGACTGTGTCACTAAGACCACATCTTTCTTTTGGGTTGAAGGCGGGAGCTTGCTGGATGAGTTTAATTACAGAGTTAGTGAGGAAGGCAGAGCAACTTCCCACGAAGCTCTCTCTCCCCCTGCTACTGAGTAGGGGGAGGTAGAAGTGAGGAGGGGAAATGGCTTAGGGAATGAATGTTGCCACTCTCAAGAGTTGGCCATTTGAAAGCAAAAATCAGTGTCCTCAGGGGTTCAAAGTGCAGAGGAAACTACAGACAAAAATGGGCAAGGGGAATGCAGAAGCCAGAGTCTTAAAATATTCTGTTTGCCCACAGGCATCGAAAGATGTACTTGTATCTCTCCCTCCACAGGCATCGAAAGATGTACTTGTATCTCTCCCTCCCACCCCTCTCCTAGTCTGGCATCTAGTGCCAGACACAATATAACAGTGAAAAAGAGCAATCTAAAGCTACAAGCAACAGCATGGACACATCTCAGAAACATCAACTAGAATAAAAGAAGCAAGTCACAAAATAATACATGCAGTATGATTCTACTTACAGAATGTTCAAAATCTGGCAAAATTAAACCAAATTGTTAAGAGATGTGTCCATAGAGGTAAATCCATAAAAAGAAGGCTGCAGATTATTATCACAGAAGTCAGAATAGCTGGTAGCTCCTTTGGGTGAAGACTGGGGAAATGGGTTTGTATTCTGGAAGGGGGTGTGGGGAGATGGCTGCTAGGGGCTTGACATCCCATTTTTTTTTTACCTTGAGTGGGAATCTCATCTTTGTTCACTTTACAGGAATTCTTTAAATTGTACATATATGTTTTATATAGTCTTCTGTATATATGATTTGTCTCATAATTTTAAAAATTAAAGGTATCTGATATCAATAGGGAGCTACTGAAAATTAGAATAATAGCCTCAGAGATCCATCTTCTCGATTTTATAGATGCAGAGACTGAAGCCCAGAGAGGTTAGGGGCCTTACTCAAGGTCACAGAGCATGCTCTTAGTCAAACTGGTACTAGAACAAGACAATTTCTAACTCAGGGCTCCTCCACCACCTCCATGTCTCTGGCAAGGCCTGCTCCTTAGGGGAAGGGAAGGGAGGGGCATAGCTTCCATGCCTGGGAGTTCCCTTGTTTTGTGAAAAAGAAAAAGGACCAGTTGTTGAGCTGATATAATAATAAAAAGTTGGCATAAACACTGATGATTTTAAATACTTTTCAAATGGAATTATAAAAGATTTCAATATGCCCCCCTGAAAATGATGATGATGATGATGATGATGATGATGATGGGAATCATAAAAATGATAACATTACAAAAATATAAGTACCAGAAATCTCTGGCAAGTCTTCAATCTGGAGTTAGACTCCTACTCTGTTTGATTTGCAGATGGTATCAGGATGGGGCTGGCTTGGAGCAGGGCTGGGCCGGGAGAGGAAGGACAGGGAGTCAGGAAGTCTGCAATTTTATTGACTTATCCACCTGGCCTAGGTGAGACCCTTAGCCCTGGGACAGTCAGGAAAGGAACCTCTGCTATCTCTCTGAGAGCTTTTTTGTTTTGTTTAGAGGTCAATTACTTCCCATTTGGGGAACTTGTGAACATTAAGAGGTGACTGGAGTGATGGGACCCAACGATGCAGATAAGAGGCTGATTGCTTACAGAGCAGCTCCCTGGTAAAAGCCCTGCCAAGGATAAACCGTTGCAGGGAATGGACACACAAAAGGGGGCAGCTTTCAGTGCAAAGGCGAGATTACAGAGATGGAAGACAGGCAGCTGGGGGTGGGCTTGATGAGCTGGGAGAAGGATTTGTTCTAAATTGATCTTGACAGGCTGAGAGTGGGGAGATGGGGGAGGAGATTTTCCTTCACTTTCTTTTCCTTTAGGAAAGAAATCTTTGGTGTCATGTGAATCTCAAATGTCCTTGCTGTGCTCTGAAGAAAATGCCAAGATGGATGGCACACGGACAAAATTGATATATATATATATATATATATATATAACAAAATATAATATATATAGTTAAGGCCAGCCCAATATGGATACCACAGTGATGTTGGCAGCATGACAAACAATGTAACAGACAAATGGAACATCTAAGGGATCTTGGATGTGCATGTTAGCCACACTCCCTCCCCCCTCCCACACCCTTTCAGCTCACCCAATGCAGTTTGCAAATTCCCAGAAGCTAGCTTGAATTGAATCTCAAACTATAAAGTATGGCTCTGGTTTTGGCATGTACCCATTTACTTTTCTCCATTGCAAAGTCCAAGAGCTTTCCTGGAGCCTCTGTCAGCAAGTGTCATTCCTGAGCTAATCACCAGGCTTACCCCCCCAACCCTCCATCCCCGCTCTGTGCAGCTTTTTCTAAGCAGCCAGCATGCACAGGATTTTCTTTCTCTCTAGAGAGAAAGCTTAATGCCTGTCCTATTTGACATGCAGTATATACCACCTTATATTTTTAGATACCTTTCTCACATTGGTCTTTGCTATCCCAATTAGATAATAAATTCCTTAAGGGCAACAGCCAGATCTTATTTTCTCTTGTGTCCCTTCCAGGAATGTTCAGTGATGTCTGAGTTACTGGTGATTGAGCCTCTTTCTTCCCCAGTCACTTGTAGCCTTGCCCACAACTGTCACTGGTCTTCCTGTGCATCTCCCTGTGGTCACAAAGGTGTGGAGGGGGCATGGGAGTCACTCACTCTCCCTCACTGAATAGGCAAGGCCTATTCAGAACATCACAGATCTGGCAACTTCTTCTCTTACTTTTCTATGTTAGAGGGAGGTGAAAGAGTGAAGGAAAGAACATTTATTAATTTCCTACTTTGTGCCAAGTACTTTGTCCATACATTCTACAATGACCTACATTTCTGGGGTAGGGATCTCACCCAAAAGATTTTTTTAAATTAACATATAGTGTTTTAGAATCTGACATTAGAACAATTGAATACAACTTACTTAAGAACTAAGGGCTAGACAGGTCATAACACAGTAGCAACATTGGACTGAAACTTATATGACAGGAATCTAAGATCGGTGTCCGACTTCTCCCTTTGTAAGGAATAACTTCCAAAGTGAAAGAATGGTAACACTGTATGACAATTCTCTCATGATGGAGATTTTAACTAATCTCTATCTTTTTTCTTAGTATTGTTGACAGAGAAATACTTACTGAGATTTCCAAATTTAAAGTACACATACTCACGTTTTAATCCCAGAGGCACAACACTAACTATAATTTAAAGACACTGTGAGGTGTTTCTAAATACACTTTTATTAGCAGTGAAAATGGAGAAATAAAAGGGAGAAGCAATGAAAACCAAAAGGAAAGAAAATGTAAGGAAATAGTAGGAAAAAAATGAACAATAACATTTTTTAAAAAGTTTAAACATGTAAACTTTAAGGGATACAAGCTATCAATAGTCAGGTATAGTTTACATAGACTCAAGCAGACTGTTTCCCACTTTAACAAAAACAACCAGGACATATTCAGAAATGAGAGAATTCAGGAAAAGTACATTTTAAAAGAGAATTTATTAAATAAGAGAATTTAACCTTTGATATGTGGGGGTGTAGGGGAGTGAAGAATCAGAGTTTTCATTGTCTAAAAAATGTAATCCAAGAGGAAAAAAGACAGATTTACTAACTAAATTTCCCACTAAATTTGTCCTGCCAAAGACAAATTTTCTATTTGAGCCCACGTCTTAATAAAATGAGTTTGTTTTCACTCTTTAAATTTACACCACCTCAGACATATTGGGGGTGGAGATGTCAAATTTCATAATTTTAGGAAGCCTAAAGTTTAGGCTTCTTACCCATATTTTTAGGACTTATGGCCACCTAGGGGCCTCCTTCCTTAAAGTAGAATTTAGAAGCTGATGATAGTCAGAAAGAAAACCTACAAAGAGGAAGAGGAAGGCGGGAGAGGAAAAATTAGGTAAACTACCTCCAGCCTTGAATGAGTTTTGTCTCCTTTGAACTTCTGGGCTTAATTTTTGTTTGAATTGGAAGTTGTTTAGAGGTAACCGAGAATAGGTTCTAACAGCATACACACACCATACACGCACGCACACAAACTCCTTTAGATGGATGCTGTACATAAGAGAGACGATGCAGTGACAGTGAGTAGAGAACCGGAATCTCGAGGCTATGTCCTAGGAAGCCATTTTGCGCAGGAAAGAGCACTCTCGGGATTGTAGAGTCCCCAGGAACGCAGCGTGGGAGGCATGCTGAGATCCGATAGGAGCCAACTCCACACAATAGTCCCTCTTCTTGAACCTTCGGGTCCTCTCCTCTCTTCTGGCTCTTGGTCTAGTTCCCGCGCTCCTCTACTCTCCTCAGTCTTCAAACCCCAGGAGTTGCCTTTACTTGGAGGATTGAGGCCTTATAGACCTCCCATTCACTCCCTAGTGCCCCAGGGCTGCCACATACAAATTAAAGAGCCTCTCAGCCCCTGGGGCTGAGGCCCCAAAAGCCACCTGCCTTAGTACTGCTGCGAAATCCAAAACTGCCAGCCGCCTTTGGTTTTCTTTCCTCCCTGTGCGGCTGCGTGGGCCGCTGGCTGTTGTCCCCTGTTATATCTCCTGGGGGAAGAACGTCCCCAGGAACTTCAGCTAAATGGTGCAGTTAGCAGTCCCAGAGATGGCTCAGGAAGAATGCTGGGGAGAAGTGCCCTTCGGTGGCCGCTTCCCTCCACCGCAGGGGCCCCTCATCCTGGCAGCGTACCGCAGATGGAGGGAAGGGACAGAGCACCTGGCCCTAGTGGGTGTAGCAGAGCTGAGGCGCCTCACCAGGCTCTGACGCCCTGCAGCGTGGCAGCCGGGTGGCCCTGTGCGGTGGCTTTCAGGCCGCCAGGGCCAAGGCCAGCGCTGGCCAGTGGTGTGGGTGCCGCGGGGCCCGAGGGCGCACTGGCGTAGCCGCCACTGTAGCCTGCGCAGTAGGTGGCATCGGTGTAGCGGCCGCAGCAAGAATAGGGCGATTCGGGGGCGCTGTAGGGGCTGGGGAAGGAGGGAGCGCTAGGGCCCAGGCAGGGCTTGCCATCCCGTACCAGCACTGGCACCGCCACCCGGCGCGGCGCTAGAGGGTGGCCGGCTAGTTCCAGCGACTTGTCCTGGCGCTGCCTCTTGCACTTGTAGCGCCGGTTCTGGAACCAGATTTTGACCTGCGTGGACGTGAGCTGCAGCGCGCTGGCCAGGTGCTCGCGCTCGGGCGCAGACAGGTACCGCTGCTGCTTGAAGCGCCGCTCCAAGGCCAGCACCTGCGCCTGCGAGAAGAGTACGCGCGGCTTCCGCCGCTGCCGCGTCTTGGGCTGCTCTGGGCCGCCACTGCGCATGCAGTGGCCGCTGTCGCCAACACTGAGCTCCGGCACCCTGGTCCTGCCGCCGAGGGGCGAGGCCTCCCTCAGGCCAAGCTCTAGAAGGACAGGAAGGGACACCATCAGCGCCCAGCCTAAGGCTCACCTGAGCGATGTTTACATTGTTTTCAAGAAGCCTCCCTCTCCCTGGCAGCCTTCACTCCGCACCCCCTTCTCCTGCCTCCTGCTACGCCTCAACTCTGTCCCAAGCTGTCTGAACGAATGTTCCTTTTCTCTAAGCTCACCCCTTTTGTACCTGCTAGAACATAAATAAATTGAGACACTCTGTACATGTCATTTTCCCAAAAGGTAGACTCTTGATCAAGAGTCTAAGGCAGCTCTATTTTCTTCTTAGAGTGTGTGTATGATGGTTCAGGTTGGGGGAAAGTTTACCATGAAGATCAGGTGTGAGTGTGTAGGCCTATCCAATTGGTGCCGACTTGACTTCGGGCTGTCCTTGGAAGTAAAGGGAAGAAGAGGAGGAGAGAGAGCCCTCCAGGGCTCAAGGAAGCCAAAACTCAGTGACATGCTCTCAGGAGGCTCCTGTCTGCCTCCAGATGCGACCCAGCCCTGAGAGTATCCCATGGAACTCAGCTCCAAGTCCAGGAGGGGGAATCTTGAGTGTCTCCTACCTTCACTCAACTGTTCCACACACCTTTGTCTTTGTGGTCATCAAATACTCGGCCAGCACCAGCGTCCCAGCTTTGTAGTCCGAATTAACAAAATTCGATAAAAGCAAAGTATTTCCTGGATCCTGACTCTTTGCTTGGCAACCTAGAGATGTATGAAGTTGAGGTCTATACTGGCTTTAAAAAGCAGCCTCCCCATCCTTGGAGGTCTTTTTGGCAGGTGAGGGTGCTGGCTTCATCCTGAAGTCCCCTTTCCCCAGAGGACTCCCAACTGCACACGTCAAGATGTAGCGTTTTCTTCCCTTCTCACCTCTCTCTGGTCTCTACTTAAGCTCTGTTTTACCCCAAGGGTGGGTAGTGAGGAAAGGCTGATTTTTTTAAGGGAAACTCAGCCCAGGAAAAAAACAGGAGAGTGGAGGGGCTGCAAGTTCTCAGCGGGGTGGGGCAGGACTTGCCTACTTAGAGCCAGCACGCTCTGGGACCCGACTTCTAATCCCCTGCAATGCTGGCACAGTCTGGGGGGGGGGTGCAGCTGTTTGGTATTTAAAATTTAAGGAAAGAAAAACTTCCTTCAAAGATGCCTGTGCAAAGAGAAACTAAGGCCATCTCCCCTTGAAAAGAGGAAAAATACTGACTAGGGCTTGTTTTATTAGTACCGTTAAAAGATAACCTACCTTCAGCAACAGGGTGGCGCAAGCAAAACCACATTTGAAAGTCACTGACCACTGGGCTGAGGGCTGCGCAGCACCCCGGGCCTGTGCCAGCACCCTGTGCCCTCCAGGTCACAATCAGAGATCCTCAGCCCAGCGTCCTTGAAGGTAAGGTAGGTTGGTGGGGGACTGACCGGTTGCTGGAAGCCCACCAGGAAGCCCCCCCCTCGCGGAGGGCCACTGTGGCCCTGAGCTCAGTTCCTGGAGCCAGGTTCCGTCTGCCCCGGGGCTTGGTTTCCAGCAGAGAAGGGACACACAGCGCAGGCCTTTGGCTGAGGCAACCGTGGGGGTCCGAGGAGAGGGACTGTTTGTCAGCAAATCCAAAATGTTTGCGGAGTTGGCCCAGCCCAGCGGCGCTGAGGGACTTTAGTGTTTAGAGTCCACTACAGAAAACCCACCCCCTTCTTCGGGAACACAGCAAAGTTCATGTTCTCCAGGCTTCTGAAGTTAGAGAATAACCAGCCTACAAGTAAGCCAATAGCTCCGATCTGGCCTCTATTTTATTTGGCTAGTTTGCACCTAGCCAAACTAGCCATGGCACAGAGGTGCCATGGCACAGCCTGGCAGAGGAGGCCTGCTCTGCGCTGGGAATGCCCACCCAGGTGCAGAGGTTTGGTGAGAGGAAGGTGGCTTTTTCATTCCTTGGAATATCCAACCTCTCTTGCCGAAGTTTCCCTAGGTTCGCGGAGCAGACGCAACACAACTCCCAGCCAGCCCCTTCCCGTCCTGAGTACTGGAGGCAGATGCTAGGGCCTTGGAGACCAGGCGCAGGACGCGGCCCGAGTCGCCTCCCAGGGCAGCGACAACCCGGGCTGCCTTTAAGACGCTCCTGATGCGAGAATCTGGCACCAGCGCTCATAGGGGCTTCCACTTCTGGAGGCTCAAAAACACCCAGTCCCCATCTCCCGTGTTCCAGATGAGGAACCTGTGAGAAGGGACCGGGAGATGGCCAGGGAGCTCAGTCCCGGGAAAGGGCCCGGCCACGATGGACAGCAGGCTGGCTCCTCTTTTAGATGATTCAGAGTAGGGAGAGACTAGGAGATGGCAGGGAAGGGCAGTGGTGGTGGAGCACAGTGAAGACACTGTTTCACAGAGGAGATGCGGAGCTTGAGGTTGGGGAACCGGGAGGTGCTTGTGTGGGAATGAGAGGGGCGGCTTCGAGCAGACCGAACCCTAAGATTCGGGACCTCATTTTCCTTAGGGGCGCGGGAAGCACACAGGGTGTCGGAAGGCGGTGGGAGTGGGGGCTCAGGGGCCTGTCTTTTGGACTCCTCAAATGAGGGAAGTGGGGAGAGGACATGCGACCCCTGGACACTGGGAGATGCGTTTTCCTCCACTCACCTATAATCCCCCTCAATATCTCCCGTAGATAGCAAGACCTGAACCCTTACTCACGTGGCTCCTCCACCCTTTCCGCATCCATCTCCACGACCACCTCACAGGAACCCCTACGTGGCTCCGATCGGTCTTGTCTTCTGTCGCCACCGGCGCTGTGAATCTCTGACCCTTGCGGCTCTGAGTCCATTCGCAGGTATGGAGAGTTTTCCTGGCTCCCCCGCATCCCACGGTGTGGCGAAGCCGCCGGGCCGCTCTGTTCCCGCTGCAGCCGCTGCAGCCGCAGGATGTCATTGACGGAGAAGGGGGTGGAGGTGACCCGGCCCAGCAGCATCCCGAAGGCGGAGGGGGCGGGGCCGAAGAGTTCCCAGTCCCCACCGAGCACGGAGTCCCGAACTTCCCGTCTTGTCGCTGCAGGCCCCGCACTCATACCCAAGCTCTGGGACAGACACCCAGCGTCCAGAACCGCGCCTTCCTCTGGGCCATCCGGGCGGGCCGGGGGACGAGACCGCCGCGCCCCATTGGTTCTCGCAGAAACCACGTGCGTGCTAACCCCCACCTTCCTCGCCAAATGCTTTCTTCCTGCGCCCTCCCCACTGCCCAGTCACCCTCCTGGGAGGTTTGGTTCCTACTGACGGTTCTCAAAAGCAAAGAAAACGTGGAGAGATGGTGCTGCGCGCGGCTCGTACCTGCGTCCATACGGTACAAACGGGATCTCCTTAGGTCAAACCAGGGTCCGCGGGGATCCTCTCCCACCCCAAGCCCCACCCGCACCAGAGGACGTGCGAGGCTGGGGGGTAGTCCTCGCTGTGCAACCCGAGCCCGTCCACCCGGCTGGATCTTAGCTCAATTGTCCACTCTCACGGCGTGGGGGAAACCGATGTAGAGACAGCTGGGCACTCGGGGCATGGTCTTAGTGCACGCAGAGGCAGGACAACTGAAGACGAGCGAGTCTCGACCCGTCAGGGCCTGTATTGAGGGGGAAATGTCACACTTTGCACAGAGTCCAGGTCTGCGGAGCCCATATTTGCCACTTCCCAGGAACAGCGGTCTCAGCCCTGGGAGGGAAGAATGGACTTGGAGCTGCACTGGGGGGTAGGGGAAGGCGGGCCTCGGCCTCTTCTCTTCCTCCCTGAAGCTGATTGCCCTGAGCGAGTGTGCCTGCAGTAGATAGATCTCCAGGAAAACAGTTTGGTCACAGCTGGCACCGAGTAAACGGTGGCAGTGTTGTACAATGGTAAGGAAGATAGAGTCAACAGATCCAGCCCTTGCTCCAGAACATAACTGAGGGTCTTGGGGCAAAATATTAACCTCACTAAGCTTCACATGTCCATCAGAGGATGATTGGGAGAATTAAGTGATATAATGTGTCTGAAATTGTCAACGAATGTCCACTGTTGGTATTATTCAGGCTACATGGATTAAGAAACGTGACTTGGTGTCATCAGTCCCAGCACAGGATCAAAGGGGTTTTAATTTTTAAAAAATCAAAACAGGAATCTTACTACAGTTCTTGTAGAGACTTCAGATCAAATGTTTCTTAAACATTTTTAATGGGAATTCAATGCTACAACAGCTTTTTGGATGTTATTTCCTGAAGTCCAGTTAAACTGAACTCATCTCCCCAGGCTAGTGGGGAAAAGTCGCCTGCAAAAACTCATGCAAAGTTTCAGCAAAATTGATCATTCAGCCACCAAGTAATTATTTCTTATACATGGTATCGTTTAATCTTTACATCAAAGCTATACCCTGAATATTCCCTGCTTCTTTTTTCAGCGAGGAGTCCAGATTAGAGAGGTTAAGTAAATTCCAAGGTGGTCCAGCTCTCATTAATAGGAGAGCACACCCATCTGGCAAAAACAACAAACTTTTCTCTTTTTTTTTTTTTGAAATAGACATCATTTGCCCTCAGAGATCTCAAAATGTTGTGATAACCCACACTTTCTTTAAATTTTATTTTATTTTTCTGATTATGAAAGTCATCATGCACACCCGGAAAAAATGGAGAAAAGTTAAGAAGAAAATGTAACATTTATCCAAAGATAACATTTTAGTACACTTCCTTCTCTGTTTGTGCAAATTTGAGCTAATAGGGCATATGCTGGTTTGTATATGTTTAAATTTACATCATAAGCATGTCCAGCACTTAGAGGTTTTTTTTTACAGAAGTGTGATTTAAAATAGCAATCTAGTATTTCATGTTATGGATGGGCCATAACAGATGGTTTATGCTTTTAGATAATATCTATTTTTTTCATTACTGTAATAAGGCTTTATTTTTATGCCTTTAATCTTTGTGCCTGCATCCTTGTCAGTATTTTAGGTTATTTCCTCAGAATACATATGTAGAAGAAACATTAATGAATCAAATATTTTAATGCTGATAAAATATACCATCCCACAACTTGCTAGAAAACTAGTATTTTCATATCCTTTCCCCAGAGGTGCAGGGGAATGTCTGGTTGATAGGTACGTACAGCCACTACTGGACACCACCCAGCGACTGTGAACTGAGAATATTTCATTCATAGGACTGCAGGCAAACGCTCAGCCCCTTCACTCTGCAAAAGAATCTCAGCTAGGTACCCGCCTTCCAAGTACTGGGGGCAGGAGGTGGGGCAGCCCACACAGATAAAATCCTAAAGCCATAAAACTACCAGAGCTTTATCTTATGGTGGAATTCTCTGGGCGGACGGTCGGGCTCTAGCAAGTTGCAGAAGAAAAGACGTCTTGAGCGGGACCTGGAGTCCAAAACCCTGAGTTCAAACCCTAGCCTTTCTTGGTTTGCCTCAAGGATCAAATGAGATTTTTGGACAGGAAAATGCTGCCTAGCCTGTCTCTAGTGGTGCAACAAGGAGACCTTGTTATTGAAAGGGCTGCCTCAGTTCTGGATGGGGCGCACCCTACACCCTACGGAAACCTGGGGAGTGGTGTCACACTCACTCAATCCCTGCAGAGAGAGAGAGACTATTCTTGTGTTGCACAGCACTGTGTGTTCTGGTTTCGGTTGTCTTGGGTCTCTTCATTTCTGAGTCACCTCTCTGAGGAGCCTGGTGTGTCCCTTCCTCCTCCCTCTCCAGCGCCAGGGAGCATTGAGAGCCACCTACGGGAGAGTGGAACCAATAACTCTAATCTTGCCCATTCTGGGTCAGTTGGGGGTGCATTAGCCACTGCCCCACAAGGGGGATGTGAGTGACTTGGTCATCTGCCCAAGTTCCAGGAACCGGCGAGGGGCAAGGAGTAAGCAAAGCCTGGGAGTTGCAGGGCTCTTAGGCAGGGCACCAACAGTGTGGTGTGAGGAGGGATGTGTGTGTGTGTGTCTGTCTGTCTGTCTGTCTGTCTGTCTCCCCCTTGCACCTGAGTGGACACATTATCACCTCTGTTCTTAAAATGAGATGGAGCCCCTTTGCTATCAGTGTGATTGTATCTGCCTTGCTTCACTCAGATCTACCAAGTGTTTTAAGTGCCTGCTATGGTCCAGCTCCGCCTAACCTCTGGGAATATTGAGAAAATGAGGGGTCTCAGGGGTCTCCAAACTTGTATTCTTCCACGGAAGACAGACTTCTAAATGATTCTGATGCAGTGTGATATCTTGCACAATCATATGGAATTTGTACATGATATTTATTAAACCTCTTCTCACCTGTGATTAACAGAAGTATCTCCTATTTCTTTCAAACTTTCCTCAAATGAAGGGATTCCCTCTTTAAAGTGCTATATACTACAGGCAATTATGGGCACTTAGTCTGGCACTTAGTGGACCCCCTGGGCTTATAGGCAATCAGCCATCCTTAACTGGAGTGCAGGATTCCTATTAGACTAGAATAGACTAGATAGACTTGAGCTCTGGGTCTGTTGTCACAGCTGTGTCCCCAGGGCCTAGACTAGCAACTGGCATGTAGTAGGCCTTTACCAGATATTTGCTGGAGGAAAGTATTTGCCTTGTTTGGTTGGGAATAGTCCCAAGGATATTTTCTGAGTGCCTAGTACATAAGGAAAGGGTAATCATATAATCTGTCATACCAGCTAGGACATTTTTAGGTGGAAAGGCAACACTAATTGGATGGGATGCCAGGCCTAAACCAAAACTGTCCCAGGCAAATCAAGTCATACAGTCACCCTATGTAGAAGGTACAAAGATAAGTAGCACACAGGGGGATCCTCCAGGAGTATCCAGTTCAGTGAGGGAGAGGGTGTGGTGGGATGGAGGTGTGTGAGGGTGGGCGGTGGGTGGAAGGGAAGACAGTTGAACTTTTATTGTAGAATGTCACCCATACACTTTTATCTGCTGCACTGGCATTTATGTGCCTAATTTCACCCACTTGATGAAGAATAGCATTTTTATGTATAATGATAATTTTATCATCAAAATCTATGATGTGAATCTAGTTATCACATGTAAGAGCCGGTTGACCACTGGTGCATCCTTTTTCTGCTGCCACAAGGCAGGTACACCTGCTGTTGCACACACCTGAAGCTGCCTCCCTAGCATAGGCCCCTCCTCCCCAGAACACGGACTGCTCCCAGAACTCATTCATTCCTGCAGATTCTCTTTTGCAATTTGCTTTTTTCACTTTAAAAAAGCATACCCTGGAAATCACACCACGTTGGTTCAAAGAGACAGTCCTTATTCTTGTCTGGGTTGCCTACTGCTCCATTGCATGACACTATCATATTCAACCACTGTCTTATGAATGAGCATTTAGATTTTTCTAGTATTTTACAATAGCAAACAATAATGAGATTGTGTTTTTCTGTTGTTAGAGGTGTATCTTCAGAGTATATTCTTAGAAGTGGGGCTGTGGGTCAAAAGTAAATGAGTATATAATTTTTTTAGGTGTCATCCCCTCCAGAATGGTTGTACAGGTTTGCATCCCACCAGTATTATATGAGAATGTCTGCCTCCTAGGCAGCATGGACAACACAATGCATGATCATGCCTCTTAATTTTCACCAATCTAATAGGTGAGAATCAGTATCTTGGTGTTGTTTTTAATTTGTATTTCTCTAATTATGAGTGAGGTGGAACATCTTTTTGTATGTTTAAGGCATATATACATATGTGTAAGTATCTAAACATATACATGTATAATATACATATATATTAACAAAAATATATACACATAAATGCACTAATGTAAATTGTCTCTTTCAACCATTTTTCAATCGATTTTTAAGTTTTCTGTATCAGTGATTTGGGGTATGTGTGCTATATGTTTATATATATATATATATACATATATATATATAGTCTTCCTGTTTGCGAGTTATTTTTTGACTTCTTATATAGTGCTTTTTGCCATGCATTTTTTATGTAGTCACTTGCATTTTTCTTTTCTTCTATTGCCTCCAGATTTGAGTCATAAAAATCTTTCCTACACAGAGGTTAAAAAATTCACCCATACTTTCTTCTAGTATCTGTATGGTTTCTTTGTTTCCATTCGAGTGTATGATGTGAGTTAAGGATCTAATATTATCTTTTTCCAAATGGCTTTGCTGGGACCATTTTGTCGGCTTGTTAACAGTCACTTTCAGAAGTGCTCTCCACGAACCTCTGAAAATCAGTGCAGATTTCTCAGGGTTAGGGGAGGAGCATGGCCGGAGAGATTTCTTTTATTAATTGTTTTGTTTTGTTTTTTAAAAAAACTCAATCAATTAAAGAAAAAAAATCTGCTTGTACTTTACCGCTTGGTGGGCTTCTCAATTTCTCCGCGTTGCCTCCCAACATCCCCTCCCCAGCTTTCGGGCTTTGGGTGGAGGAGACGGCTTAGCCTTTGGGACAGATGAGGGGCCACGCATGGTGCTGCCCCAGTAGTGCGCCCTCCACACCTTCAGAGTGCAGAGTGGGGGAGGCAGTGTCAGTGGCCGAGGTGACAACCAGGGCTTCCCTCTGCAGAGCCTTCCCTGCCCCGTTTGGGGAGCTGCGGACAGGGCGGGCAGGGACACTGCCAGGCAGCACTTATCTGAGCCTTGCCTCCAGCTCCGCCTCAATTAACATTCCAGCGCCCTGCTGCCTTGTTTCTGATAGCGCCCAACCACCAACCTACGAAGTCCTAACCAACCCCTGGAAAAATAAACTCAAGACCCCAGCAGCTGTATGTGTGTGTAGGGCGGGCAGAGACTCAGATCAAATAAACGGCCGCCCAGAGATACCAAGCAGAGTGTTGTGGGTAGCCAAGGAGTCATCTACCCACTCCAGGTTTGCGCTGGGCTGTAGCTCTCCCTCCTGCATCACTGAGAAGGTAGCTTCTCTTTTAATTAACTGACAATTGGTGGGTCTTGCTGAGCTCCCAATGTCCCCCAAGCCTGGGGTGCGATCAAGCACATTGCTGGGTCCCCAGAGCCCTCAAGGGGAGTTTCACACACATTCCCTGACCTTAGGGGTCAGACAGACCCTTTCTAGGCTGTTTGTATAATAGTATCTGATGTATCACTCAGCTTGGGCTTCTATGATCTCACTGATGTCCCTAGGAGATAAGTAGGGCTGATGTCATTCTTTCAATTTCAGGGATGGGACGTTGAGGTGCAGAGGGGTCCCTAACTTGTTTATAGCCATTTGCCTGGGGAGGGGGAAACCACAGGTCTGCTGCTCACGGTTTCTGGGGCTCAGTGCCTGGCTCCAAGTTGCACCTTCCTTAAGAGGTTACCAACCTGCAAATTGCTATTAATGAATTTCTAGTATCATTATTGTCATTCTCCACCAATGTAAAAGACAACAGCACATTTTTGTCCACAGATTGGATATAGGCCACCTCTTAACTGGCTGTATGTGAGGGGTGTCCACAGTGGATTCCATTCTA